CTGAGGTCCATCAGCAGGGCCAGGCGGCCGAGGCTCTCAGGCAAGCCGGCCGCCTCGGCACGCCGGGGGCGGGCAGGGAGGGGCGGCCGCGCCGAGGGGGCGAGGACGCGGAGCGGAGGCCTCCAAGATCCCAGACCCTCATTTCTGTTGTCGGAGGCGGAGGATGAGGAGGATAGGATAGGATAGGACTCGGCCTTGCGCGTGTGCTGGGAGTACGCAGCTATGCACTGTGTGAGACACGCGTGCACAACTACTACCTCTGACTATCGTATATCTACTATACGAGGTCAATGGTAACGCGCGCCGTGCAGCGCTCGACACTCTAGTATCGGGGCTGTGCGCAAGTGTGAATTTCGCACGCGGGCTGGGGGGGACACCCCTCTGGCCCCGTGGGGCCAAAACCTCTCGGCACTGCGTGTGCCAGGTCGGCTCCCGAGGCATCTACCCAGCCCAGAGAAAAAAACAAAACAGCCAAGACGGATCCTCACCCTCCACCGAAGAGGCCCCCCCTATCACCTGACACTCGGGCCCCGCAGGCATCCGATTGGCAGGCAACAGCGAGGCGCCTTCAGCGAAGGGGTGACCCGTGGAGCAAGGGAAATGTATATCTCGACTGACGCGGACAGCCTGCCTTCGCGAGGGTCGGGCGGGCCTCAATCAGAGTGTGCAACTGCATAGAGATAGCACTCGCGATGAAGTACATTACCATGCCCATCGAGTCGCAGAGGGAGCGGAGCAGGAGGTAACGCTCTGAGATCCCGTTCAATGACTCTGTGGAGGTCAGCTGCACAACATCAGCGAGCGTGAACTATATATCTGGAGCGTCGATGCAATATGAATAACCACTGGGGTCGGGGAGCAACGGTGCGAGGGTCACTAACGGCGCAGCGCCGGGCAGTCCCCACTCGCACCGCGCCCCCCGTTGGGTAGTCAATCCCACGTCTGTTCTCTGCATAGAGAAAACACTCGCGATGAAGTACATTACCATGCCCATCGAGTCGCGGAGGGAGCGGAGCAGGAGGTTACGCTCTGAAATCCCGTTCAATGACTCTGTGGAGGTCAGCTGCACAACATCTGCGAGCGTGAACTATATCTGGAGCGTCGATGCAATAAGAATAACCACTGGGGTCGGGGAGCAACGGTGCGAGGGTCACTAACGGCGCAGCGCCGGGCAGTCCCCACTCGCACCGCGCCCCCCGTTGGGTAGTCAATCCCCCGTGGGTGCCAACACGGTCCCGAAGCCCTGGTGCGGTCCCGACCGTGTGTTTGACGTTCGTTCCTTTGCTGCAATACGTTCTCTGAGTGCCTCCATACGAGCACGCCATGGTTCCGTCAAGCCTTCTCCTTCTTGTCCTTGCCCCTGCCCTTGCCGCCGAGCTTGTGACGGTCCAGCATCTTCTGCGCCAGCGTCTCGAGGTGGCCCTGTGGGGCGGTCCCCTGCTTGAGCGTGCCGCCCATGCCGCGAAGGAGGACCACGACTGCGTTCTCGATCATCAGCTTGGAGTACGTGACTGGCTCGCCTCCCGAGTCGAACTGAAGGCTCACACCGTCCACCACGGCGAACTGTAGTCTCGTCATGTCCTCGTTGTAGCATTTCTTGCAGCGGAAGTGTCGGATTGATAATCCGAGCTCCTGCATCCGTGCGCTCAGTACGAACCTCTGATAGAACGACTTCACGCAGTCCATCGCCTCGCCGCCGATCTTGATACTGGTCTCCGCCTCCACTAGACATTTGAATCCTGCGCGCGCTATGTGTAAATGTGGAGGTCCGAGCTTGTCCTTCACCGTCGGGAGCCCAGCCGCCTCCGCGTAGAGCTTGCCAGCGGCCCTGCAGGCCACGATAATCGGGGACAGCGTCGGCAGGATCACGCTCACCCATACCACCGATGCGAGGTCTCGTAGAAGTTGAGAGTGCATGCAGAAACCTTTTAGGAGGAGGCTCAGCGCCGCTGCAACGTCTTTTGCCTTGAGCGCGCCCTCCACCTGGTGTAGCGTGTCCTCTGCTGCGTCTGCTGCCTCGGCCACCGACCTCCGAGACTTTGCGCCCCTGCCCTCCTCGCCGCCGCCACCAGGGTCCTCGTTCTTGCGCTTGCCCAGTTCCACGAGAGCCGCGAGGTCCATCATTTCGCCTTCGGTGGAGGCCGCCATCGAGAAGGCGACGCTGGTGGATGACCGGCTGTGGGAGAGAGCAATGAGACCTGATGTGGACTTGAAGGTCGTGTAGACTTTGAGCCTCATGCCAACAGACTGGGCAATGCAACTCTCCAGGTATACTCACGTCCTGCGCTAAGAAAGAGCTCCTCCCCCGACTGCAGATGTTACGTTTGTAGGATCTCATGACGTGGCGTTCGGCGTTCTCCTTTGTACTCAGAACTTGCATACAGCGAAAGCACTGGTTTGTAACAGTCAAGAGGGACGCTTCGTTTCGCACTCTGTGTGCCCGCCCTGCGTGGAGGAGGAGCGACTTCATGGTGCTGAACCTCTCGTTACACTTGGCGCCCGTGCTGAGCACCATGTGGCAGATGAACTGGCCCTCTTGGGCCGTCTCCTCCTCCTCCTCGGGGACCTCGGGGGCCTCTGGGGTGAACTCGGGCGGTGCGAACGACTGCGAGTAGGCTGCAGCACGGAGGACCGTGAAATCCAAGAAAGCCCAGTCCCTGTACTCCTGGAGGTACAGCAGCTTCACGAGGGGGTAGCCCGAGGGGACCAGCGTGTAAAAATCCTCGACGAGATCATGGGCATGCTTGAGGTCCTCTAGTAGCTGCCGAGCCCAGGGGTTGGCCTTTGGGGTCAGTTCCCAGTTGTCGTCAAGGGTATCCTGGTTGTTGATGGCCCCGAAGATACAAGCCCGAACTTGACGGTGGGCCTCAGGGAAACGGGCCCAACTCTGGAGCCACCCTAGACGACGTACTCTGAGTTCCTCGAAGGTAGGTAGGATCTTCCAGTACTCCCAGACCTTTTTTGCGGGCCAGCGCCGAATTTCTCCTTCAAAGCTCCGGGTGGTCCCCTGAAGGCCAAGGCCCCTACGCATAGCCAACATCAACACACGGTCCGACTGCTCACAGAAAGACGAGTCCACGACGCGAGCCTCCATGCCCGAGAGGAGGGCCGCCTGGACGAAAGAGATGATCGCCATACGCTTGATGGGACGAGCGGCTGGCCTGACCAGGAAGCACGAGATGAGCCCCAGACCGTTTTTTCCCGCCAGAGTTCGCTTCGACTTCTCGACGGCCAGGGACCCCGTGGAAGTGAGCCAGCCTCCCAGGATCCTGATATGACGACCTCGGATCCCTGAAGTTTTTAAAACACCGCTGTGCCACAGGCGTCGTTGACCAATGCAGCCTCGACCGAAGATGCGAGCAAGAGTGACCCGCTTCTCAGGGTTCAACGTGATACCTATCTCGGAGAGGGCCTCACTCAAATTGTTGCTACTCGACTCCGCCAGCGCCGCCAAGGGTGCCGCCTCGCTGCCGTTCGAGAAAGGTTCGGGTCCCCACCCTGGAATAATCATCTTCGTAATGTCATCTGCGAAAATCGTTAAGCCTACATCGGTGGAAGTGCCGTCTATCTCGATGGCCTCTGCATACTGCCGAGAAGAAGTCCGAGAGCGATGATCGTGAAAACGGGCGAGACCGAGTTCGTAGTAATAGGGGAAGGCACGGGCGGGATTGGGGTGTCCCATCATTTCGCCTGTTGCGGGCCGAAGAGTAATCACCTCCGAGTTGGATTCAATCTGGAGGGCCCCCTGAACTGCACGACGGTGTTCGAATACGATATCTTCCTGTCGATACAAGGACGGGAGGGACTCAATGATAGTTTTTCGGTCAGTGCTCGCAAAAGCGTTCGAGGCGTCCTCGTTGACGATCGCGTGAGACAAGCCCTCCTGCTCGAGGCGCCACGATGCACATGCTTGAACGGCAATTGCGTCCTCGCGGCGGCGCCTCGGCACGAACCCGTGGCAATGGTATGGGAGACGCTCACGTACCTGTCTGCCCCGCTTCCACAGCCAAGAGTGCCATGCCTTGCCCATCGGGCAGAACAAGTGAATCCATCGCTGTCCCGCGGCCCCAAGCTTTCCGTTTCGTTTGTCCAATCCGATACAGGAAGAGATGTCGTAGAGTAGTGGTGATTGGCGAGCTCGCCGAAACGTAGCGATGATGTCCGTCATGCGCTCGAGGAAAGCGGTAGCCGTCGAAGGGCGCGAGCAGGCCCCCACTCCACCTGTGGTGAAGGTCTCCCACACCGCCTCATCAAGAAGTAGTAGCCATAATTCAGACGGCATTGACCAGTGGGGGCATGCCCGACGTTTTGGGGAAGATCTCAGCACTTGTATCATGCCCTGTAGATCCTCCTGTGCCTGTTCCAGGTAGATAGCCTGCAAGATATTATATCTCACCTCTTCGGATCTGGCAAAATCTTCCTCGTCCTCGAAATATGTTCTGTCGAAACGTTCTATCAACTCCGCTTGTAAATCGCAAGGAACTCCGCCCATACCACCAGCCGCTGCGGGTAGTTGAAGAAAAGAACTTATCTGCTCGGCTTCGCATTGCTCCATTTTGCATACAAAGTAACGCCGCTGGCGAGGACCACGTCCTCGTCGAGACAGACGGCGTATCAGTCTCTGGACTGTATTGTGGTCATGGGCGGACCAAGCTTCGTTCAACTCCTGGACTATCGCCGCCGTCTTGTCCTTCGTGATCTGCTTGGACAAGGAGCGGATTCTGAATGTAAGCCTTGCTAATTCCAATTCCGTGTCCTGCCAGGAGGCTGTCTCGCGCCCTGTAAGTGTGCCTTTCAATAGTTTTCGCCGTTCCAAGGTGCGAGAGCGCTGGTGTTCAAGGTCAGACTTGAGCTCCTCGGCCGGTGTTGGCTTGCTGATAAGATCCTTCGCCTTGTTAACTAGAAGCGTGGCCGTGGTGTTCCATAACTCGTCCGTCGTGGGCCTTGTGCACATGCGAATCCATTCCTCATCGGGTATCGTCATCAGTTCGCTCTGGATGTCCTCGATAAGTTGTGTGCACTGCTGGCCTCTTCGGGCCGACGCCATGATTCG